CTGACGCGCTGTACCGTGCTCCTGTCTGAGTAGACGCTTTGTCTGGCCGACTAGTCTTCTCACTGTCTCTCGTACGGGTTCTCGGCGTACCGGTTCGTGCTGATTAAGAGTACCAAAGCGGGTCATAACAAAAACTGCATGTAGATATCAAATAATTATTTATCTTTTTTGTACGGTCACTCCGGGCGATAGTTTTAGCTGCCATTGCTATTTCTGCCGTTTCTCTCTCTCTCTCTCCCTGAACTTTCAGGCCTCGTGTTTCCTATTACCTGAGTTTGCTATTTGTTCGTAGATGGAAAGAGGCATAGCAATATGATCCTGCCTAAAAGACATTCATTTCATGCCCAAATAGTTTAATAGTGTGACTCTACGCTTGTGGCATTTCGCCTCAAAAACCGTAAGTTTCGTTTGGTCCGTTTTTCCCCTATGGCTTTCCAGTTCTCACCTTTCATTTTATTCGGTTCATATTTGACCAAAAAGATTGTCAGTTAAGCTGGTTTTAATTGCTTTTCTTTCAGCTCCGTCGTGTTCCTAGCAAGTACAGGACTTCGACCCGGGTCCGACGTTTTGTCGTCGATGGTCAAGAGGTTACTACCACCTCGAAGCGCGTTGTCATGGCCAACGCAGATGGTCAAACGCAGAAGTTGCAGCAAAAGTTCGTGATTTCTTTTTCGATTAGAGTACTATTTACCGATTGAAGTTGTCTGTATCCTTAATCACTTCTTAACTTATATTCAGTTGAGCTTATCGTCTTGCTGTCGAGTCATTTATTTCGTGTCCTACATCCCCTCTTCCCCTTGATTGGTAATCAGTCCACCCACTCACCACCTGGCTTAAGGTGGAGAGACTGTTGGGGCTTTGTGCTTAGTCCCCCTTGGAGGCCGACCGGTTTTTAACGGAGGGTCTGTAATTCCGCTTCTGGAAGATCTCTTTGAAGCTTTTTCCCTCTTGCTCTTTGTCTTTCTCTATTTTCTTATTTTCCTCCTCTGTTCCCACCTGCAAAATTATCAGACTATGCCAGTGTTAGTTTGCGTGCTACGGGGTGATTGAACAGACCCCACGCCGCCGTCATATGTACCTAAGTATTACAACATATTGTCAGGTCTCCATTTGAGTGGCTCTCGTCTCATCTACTCAGCTGGAGGACTGATTCTCAAAGCGACAGGTGCGGTCTCTATGTCGCCTGCTTCCCATGTTGGCTTACTTCCAAAGATCAAGCTACAGCCCAGGTTGCCATCAGCAACGACGCAGATTTCTTATGAAATCAACACAATCAAAACAGTTGCTCACGCTGTTTTGAAGTTCCACCCTAGAATGCTATTCAGCAGGCTTGTGCGAAAAATGATATTGACGCATCAGTGGCTGATGTCATTTAGTAGCGCCTCATGGCAACCAGTCGGGCCTCTCAACTCTACTTCAGAATCGGCTTTCTTTGTTTACAGTTAAAGTTGGTTTTTTAGAACTGGTTTGCGAGTTTGCTGTAGCCTACAAGTGTTAAAACGTCTTCTGAGCCGTCCGTTTTTATGACTCTGGAGAGTGTGTATGACCTTCACATTCCTATGCTTGCCAATAACTGAGGATTCGGTCTGCGGCGTATTTTACCGCTTAGGGCTAAAACAGTATTTTTTTTTAACGGAAGCTGACTTCCATCCTAAGAAGAGCCGTTTTTGTTTTGTATTTTTGCATCTGGCACTGAATGTTATTCCGCTACGCTAATCTTTTAAGCTTTCACTTAAAGGCTCGGCAAATCACCTTTTTGGAGAGCATGTGCAGTGCTGCCACGCCTCACAATGGTAAGGCGCCAGAATGTGGACCCCCTCCGTACTACAGGTGGCCTGACGCTAAATTTCAGCGCGTGAGAGGGGGTTTCGTGTTTGGGTCAGAGTTAGAACACAGAAATAGGTATGCTCCCGACATTTGTCGCAAGGCAACCTGTAGTACAGGAATCCATATTCTCAATAAGGATGACTTGTATGGCCGCTTAAACAGGACCCGAAAATAGGAACGCCCCGCCCACTTAAAAAAATTTCCGTGGCTTAGTTCTACCACAAAATCAAATTGTAATCTTAACCCTAGTCCTATAGCCTGCCTTTTAACAGGAACCCAAACCTTAACCTTTGGCATAATCCCGACCCTAACCCCAGCTCTGACCTTAACCGTAAACTTAATCTTAAACCTAATTACCACAGAATGTGACGCAATGCCACATGTATTGTGGACAGTTCCTG